TCTTCCACGATTGTCTTATCTGTGTGTCCGAAGATGGCTGATGAGGCCTATCTGGGATCAACAGACTACTGCAGCTTGGCCACGTATTTCTGTGTGGGGTAGGCGGCACTAGATTCTTGACTTGGTTTGTGACACGCTGTTTCTACTGCTCCTGCTTTTCCGTCTCCTGTTAGTTGCCATGAGGTTTCAAAGTACTGAGATCCCTGCAGCAGACTTCTTCCATTTGGGGCAGTCCTGGGTGATAGTCTCCCACAAGTTGACATAGACATTGCATTTTTTTAAGTTGGCCTTGAGGACATTCTTGAAGTGCTTTCTCTGCCCTCCTTCAAAGCACACACCTTGGCTGAGCTGGGAGACTAAAACTTGCTGTGGGAGTCTGGAGTCGGGCATCTGGATGGCATGTAAGCATAATGGGAATGGGCATTTCCAAGTCACTTGGTCAGAAAGTAGGAATGGTTAATTTTCTTTTCCTTCATACTGCCATCCATGTACTAGGCAAACACTGTTCATCTGGATCATGGCATACTGTACACATAAGAGGTCTAGTCACCAAGATCTTTGACATGTACACCTAGGCAAGAGTATGAAAGAGTGGACACTGCCCAAGACTTACTATCCCCTCTTTAGACAACTGAGACAGAATCCAAAGGCCAAACTAAGGCCATGTTCAGTGCCTTGATGGTTGTAGCTTTTCACAGAAAGCAGTAGATAAGAACTGCTTCTGACTGCCGAATGCCTCTGTGAGGGTGTGTTTCTGTCAGAGTGATGTCCCTTAGCCTTTCTCCAACCAAAAATACCAAAAAGGCAGTGGGGGTGCTTTCCATATAACATAATTAAAACCACCATTCTACTATATTAGAAATCTGCGATTGCTTGGGATAGAAGAGTTAGGGGAACATAAAAGCATCTTCGTAGTATTGACATCTACAGCAACCTTCATGTTTCATACAGCATTGGTTTCCAGCCCAGCTGATGCTTTATTTCTGATCCTCTGCCCCTGCCCAATCTCCTGCTCTTTCTGCTTTCTGCCCTGTACTCCCTGCCCAAGCTGCAGCTCTGCTTTCTGCCCTCCCCGTTGTGGTGCAGAGACTGCCCATGTCACTTGTTGCACAGGTGCCACTCCTGCTTTATTTGATATGGGTTTCTATTGCACAGTGACACACTGGGCCGACAGACACCCCACAAGACTCAGCAAGTAGCTGTACGATCACCTTTGTGTGTCAAGACTGAAGTGAAAAAAGGTCAAAACTGACAGCAAGTTTCCTGATATTATTAAGAAAACTAAACAGACACAAATCCTTATTGCATTACACCAAGCTTCCTGTTCCAAGATCTCGTATGTACTTAAGTGGGCAACATAGTTCATACTAAAAGCCAGGCACAACGCAGCCCAGGTCAGGTTTTTCACCATACAGAGCACTTTCTACAGCATATCTAGGATCGGAGTTGGACCTTAAAACGTAAATCCTTACAGCTAGATGGGGAATATCCCCCGATAAACATGCATAAGAAAATGCCTTAGAGATTCCTGCATTCCCTGTACAGTACAACCTCATAATATCAAGAATCTGGAATTCTCGAAAATCTGGCACATCAGGGAGTAGCGGCGGCCGGCCCCGGAGCAGCAGAGGGGGAAGCTTGCATGCGGAGGCTGCCACCGCCATCCACCACCTCACGCTGCCGCTCCGTGTTTGACCGCTGCGCCAGGACCAGCCACCGCTACCCCATGCCCCGCCCTGTGTCCGGCCACTGCTTCGGTTTCAAAAATCCAGAATTTTCAAATTTCCAGCAGGTGCTCAGTCCCGAGCATGCCGGATTTATGCGGTTATACCGTACCAGTGGTACCCAACCTTTTCATCCCATGGGCTGAATGGGCAGCGACAGGTATGGATGAATCCACAGGCTGGATCTGATGGGTGGACCCGATTTGGTGCAGGGGGTGCGGCAACAACCTGGGGGTGGTTCTGGCCACAAGGGGAAGGGGGAGACAGCCTGCCCGATTCGACCATGTGAGGGTGGGTGGGGGAATCTGCCACGTGGCAGTGGCTGGGGCAGGGCACCAATCTAGAGTGGGGCCTGGGAATTTGGCAGCAAGGGAGGGGTGGCAGTACTGGTTGTCACTGTTCCCCCAGTGCCAAATTTCCTGACCTTTGGCAAGCCCGCAGGCCAGATGCCGTGGCTCTGTGGGCTGTGGGTTGAGTGCCCTAGTTCTACACAGAGGCCAATCATAATTATGGGCCCTGTGCTCTCCAGAGAGTGGAGATCACTCTATCCTACTGCTCCCCAAAGCATAAAACACTCCAGGGGAAAAGGAAAAAAGCTTAACACACAGCTATGTATTGGCCAAGCTGTGCTGGGGGAGCATCCTGATGCTGACACTGGGGCAGTCCAGGTCCACACTGTTCTCAGTCAGGGCCATGTGCATGTTGCACAATTTGGGCTTTATTAAGCAGCCAGTATAAATCAGATTATGGTTTCAAGGAAACTTGAGCTTGAAGGTCTCAATTAGGAGATGTCTGCAGCAGCATTAGAAAAATTGTGCTGCTTACTTTGCTCTGAATGGCAGTCAGGGCTGAGGACAAGACCAGGAGGGACAGGTCAGGGAAACAATACAAACCCAGAACGGTGCAGAACAGTGTCACAGCACTTCAAGCCAATGCATGCAGCTCTTTGCCAATGAAGATTAGAATCCACTTTTTTTATTGCTCACTCCTACAGTACTTTCTGAGACACTGCATCTCAGAACAATTTGGGTTTCCGAAGAAAAACAATTTAGATCTTAGCTAAAAAATTGCTAAAATGCCATCTGGAACAGTCTGCTGAAAAATGAAATTGTTCAGAAATATCATGGATCTGAAAGTTTTCATAGAAGACAAACAACAGGCGGCTTTAGTGAGCACAGCAAGTAACTGGGAAAGTTACCAAGAGTCACTAAAGAAATCAATACAACCAAAGGAATAACAGTGATTCAAGCAGCAGGGTTTAGGGGCTGCAAATAACGCTAGCCTCAATAGATTTTTTCTAAAGAATCCAGACCTCTGATGAGGCTTGACATGCATGTACCGGTCACATTGTGATTTCTTTCTCATCATTTAATCATGATCATTCCCATGAATAAAACTTGGTTTGTGTTTTATACTGATTTGATTAAGGGCTTTGTTGTCATTCTTCAAAGAGGGTACAGCTGGAGAGTTTATGCTAATTCATGTGGACAGCAGGCCACACCTGTTCACCTTAGTAAGCAGCCCCATTGATGGCCCCATTTTTAATTCAGTATGGGCCAAAACAGGAGTGTTAAACGTAAGGACCACAAAGCTGGTTCATCTGGCTCGTGAGGTTCCTTGAAGGGCTGGGAATCTAGGGGAGGGCAAATAAGGATGGGGCCCACCAGCAAAGGATGGGACCCGCTACTGGGGTATAGAGCCCTGCGTACTGGCAAGCAATGTCATTAACCCCTGACACTCCCCGCTACTGTTCACTCTGCTGCTACCGCTGGAGATGGGCCGGGATCCAGGTCCTGAGGAGCCCTGCAGTCCAGATCTGCCCCCCAGAGAGTCCTGCAGTATGGATTGGACCCAGGGAGCCAGGTCAGTTTGCCACTCATGGGCTAATCAATGTCCCTATTTTACCCAGCTGCACAAATGGAGCAAGGTCACTCTAAACAACAAGTGAATGGAGGTTTGGGCCAACTCCAGACCTCTCAATGCACTGGCTGCAGAGGAGGGACAGTCCAAGAAAGGATGTAGCCTGCACCAAGCCACTTCCCCCTGGGTCAAAGCACGTCACTTTTTCCCAGGTTGCCTTCTGGGATGGTGCTGGTCTGTGCTGAGAGTAAACTCCCATCTCGCCCCAAGTGTCAGTGGAAAGTGATCAAGTGCATCAAAATATTGCAATACTTTCTTTAACTAGTAAATGGATCCTTGCAATACAGCACAACAATTCAACTTACTGTGGAAACCTCATTCACATTATTTTACAAAAATCTGTTGCGATGAAAAAAAACAGGGTTTTCACTCTACATCCTACTAAGTCAAACATTTGAGAAAGATATTTTGAAATAAAGGGGTGGATTATCCTTCCAGGTATACAGGGAGTTTACAGAGGCCAGCGAGAACTGTAGGCATTCACTGAAGCACAGAATTTGGTCATACATTGTGGCAAATCTTGCTCTTTGCAGAAATAACCATTTATACATGGTTGATGAGTGACTACAATTTCAAAAAGCCAAATAACAAAGACAGGAAGCTTGACCTCCCTTTCACACATGGCCATGCATCAATGGACATGATGTGAAATCAGCTACTGCTCTCAAGCCCACATGGCCATTGACTGATTTTGCAAGATACACAGTGATACATAACCGCATACACGAGGTCAGAATCCAACTCTCAACTTTCTCAAAGCTGTGGTTGAACTCATGTTACATTTAATATTAAAAATGCGAAGGTCTTGTGGACTGTTTCTTTGACTAGGACTTGTTGGTGCTCTATATGGGAAAAAGGACAGTGTAAGAACCTTATAGAAGAAAACGTGTTAAGAAGAGCAAGTTCTTCCCTCTAGAAATGGCAAAAAATGGAAGCACATGAAATAGAGAAAAGAGCTGTAAACTTCGAGAGGAAGACAATGGAAACAGATGTTTTGAGTTACTTTGTGAATTAAGATGCCTTAGCCACTGCATGCATGAAGGTTTGTAGAGCATCTGCTGTCTAAATTATACTATACATCTTTTTGAGTTGTATTCTGGACTTCTCTCCTGAGCCAAAAGTGGTGGAAGGAGTTCCAGTACTAAATGTTTGTGTCTTTTTCAGGGATAGACTCTTGGCTGTCTTCCCAAAAAAGCCGCCTGCACTTAATTTCAGATGGGAGCACCTAGTTCTTTTCTTACAGCATTTTAAGACAGTGGCTCCCACTGTTCGGGCTCATGACCCCGCTTTCCATGAGATCACAACTTTACAAATGAATTTCCATGGAGCTTGTGATCCTACTTCTAATTATCATGACCCCATTTGGGACTGCAGTCCTTAAATTGGGAACCATTACCCTCAGACATCAGTTATCCCGTTTCCCATTCCCGGAAGGAAAGAGGCCCATCTCCCACTACCTTGGTCTTATTCTCTCATCATCATCATAGTGTTTCCTCTTGCTCCTCTATCTCTGCGTCAACCAGTTCTCTCTTACCTTAGGCTTACAACTTAAGTTCTTTGGGGCAGAAATGCTTGTCTAGTACCTTGGACAATTGGTTTTGATCCATGATTAATGCTAATAGAAACTACCATGGTCTGAATAACAATAATAAGAGAAATGGAGTTCCACCTTGCTGGCTACGAAGCAGCAGCTATTTACTTTTGTACAAATCAACGGGATGATTTTTGGACATCCCAAGTCAACATGGCAGGTATGAAACTGTGGACCAATGGAGAGGGGAAAAAATAACCATGAACGAGAAATACTGCTTCCATGAAAGAAAGAGCTGACACACACTTTCCAAAACATGAATTTAGATTGATAAACCAGATAGTTTTCTGGGGCTGGCACCGGCCCTCCTCCTATTAACTGTTAGATTATTTGAATTAATTGTTAAATTAATTGGATTTTGCAAGCTGTAAAGGAGAGCTCTCCCTGGAGGAACAGTCTTGCTTGCCACTGTAACACATATTCAGGATAACTGTTTTCACTTGTATGGCACAACAAATCATATCAGTTACCATAGTTTGTCTCTTAGCATTTAAAATATTTGCATGGCAGCATTAAAGAATCCGTGCATGAAGTGAAATATTTTGGTGACATTTTCCTTCATGTGCAGCATTTGTTGTGTCGAACGTGATTATACTTCTGATTTAAAACTTTCATGTGCAATGAGGAAAAAGAAGTGAGATGGGCAAAGAACGCGTCTCTTTGGTAGGGGAAGGGAACCCTTTTTTCTTTGCTATCTTGGGCTAGCATTTATGGGGCTCCAAGCAGAGGCTAATCCCTGGGCCTCTCCTCTTACCTGCACAATGGCTATCTTAGCCTAGTAGGGCCCCCACAGCCCCCCCAGGCATTCAACCTGGTACCTTTTGCCTACAGCAGGCTGTGCTGCTCTCCTCCTGTTGTCACAGATAGGTCATGACTGTAAGATTTGGAAAACCCCTAACAAGATGCAGAAGACAGAGCTGCATATAGAACTGATGCCTGTTTGCAGCAATACCTAGCTGAGCATTGGCAACATTTCCCTATGGAAACATTTTCCCTATCACGTATTCAGGCAACACTTGCTCTAACAGCATCAGCTACTTAGGAGCGACATTAGCACTAGGGCACCACTGTTCCTTATCAGCAGATGTCAACTATACTTCAACAGGAGGAAGAATTATATTCTTGAGGTTAAGATACTGGTCTGGGACTCAGGATGTGGGTTCAATCCCTATCTCTGCCAGCAGAACTTTGTGTAAGCTTAGGTAGGTACAGAATGAATTCAACCACGGCCTGTAGGAAACAGAGGGCTTGATTATAACCATATAGCTTTCCATCTGTCAGAGAGGACTAAGAATAACTTCTTTCACTTATTTCTTGCCTATTTAAATTCTAAGTTCTTCAGACTGATGGATGTACAGGACAATAAGGCTTCTATATCTTGGAGGCTTGCAGGTACTATGAGCAATAGCAAAACATTACCCTAGGTCATTTAAATACCGCACCTGTGCATGCCAAACAATACACGTGATGCAACTTCAAGGTTGCTGATATTCGTAGTCGGGTCACCGAAAGTCTGCATTCAAGGTTAATAAGAGAACTTGCGTGCGCTCACATTATGCGCTAGCAAACAGCGCTGCCAACTAATTTTAGCAGATTACATTTGAGGCTGTTTTTAATAGAGAAAGCTAACAGCCCTTAGGAATAACAAGTCCTTTGCAGAGTTCATGCATCGAAGTAAAGTGCATCGTTTTCTGCCAGTGCTTTTAACAGAGAATTTTCAGCGCTAATCATAGTGTGTCTTCTTAAAAGCACTCAGCTGTGGGCCACCTTTCTCCCCACCAAAGCCAGACATAAAATCTCATTAACTTTAGGACAGAGTTCGGCCACTTCTGAGTGCTTTTGAAAAATCTCACCTGTACTGAACATTACACACAACAGGGGCATTAAAAGAAAAATCAAGTGCCAAATTTAAGCCCACCTATATTACTAATTCTTATTTTTAATCCTTAAATTCAAACCTGGATATTTTTAATGCTCAATTTTCTGAAAGCTACACAGATTCTTAATGGATTTGGAGTTTATAACCTTAACTGCTGTCTTTTATTTTGGAGGGGGGGAGGAGGAAGAAAGCAGGCAATTGTCTAAGAGTAAACAAGTCCAATTAAGAAATGAGAAAAGATTTTGAACAGCTTTCAACAGGGCTCGCTGAGGAAGAGCACGGGTTCCTTAAACCACCATGAGAGCAGGTCTGGTAAATATGTTAAAAACTGGACTCTTAAGCCAAGGGAAGAGTCATTTGCAATCATTAGCTAAAAGAAAAGGAACAAGTGCCCTAAATTGGGAAGTATTTCCTGAAAGCAACGTTTATCGCAAGCTTCCCAGTGCCAGAATACTCCTCTACTAGAAAATGTAGCAGCCGCTCTGATGGCAAACAGGCTATGTCTAGCCAACCTTACAGGGCTGCTGTTTCCAGAGCCGGGGAGGAGATCCCACTCAGAATATTTCAAAGCAGAGATTGCCTTTAATTGTGTTGGCACTATTGCCAGAGATAACAGAAAGAAACTGAGACTGAAATGCTGGTTTTCTGGTGGAACTAAGGGACTTACGCTGCATCAGATTTATTTTCGTTACTCTATTTTCAATGCGAGGTATTCCCTCCCCCAGCCTACGCACTTTCCCCTGGCCTAGAATGGCCCCCAGGCTAAAGCTAATACATTACTCAAGAAGGGAGTGTCTTACTGGGCTATAAAAGCCAAGGACACATCCAGACAAGTGGGCACATGCTTTTCCCCAGGGACAAACAGCAGTGGGACATAGCTGCGCTGCTGCTACTTGTCCCTGGGGAATGCCCCTGCATGTGCACTCTGGTGCATGGCAAATTGCCCTGGTTGGCATAGAGGAGGCTGGCGCCAGCACCTGGACTGGCTTCAGCAGCCTTACTTGGATCCTGGGGGCCTCCTGGGTGATCTGGATGCGTGAAACCTGCCTGGCAGCTGAAGTATGGCTCTGGCTGGCCAGGCTCTGGTTTCAGGTGATGCATGCTGCAGCCATGTGTACCAGCCCGCTTTTTTTTTTAGCATTTTTTTTTTTTAGATAATGGGATTTCTCAGTATCTCATTTTGGCTCCAGAGAGAACCTTTCACATGCGCCACATGCATTTGGTGGAGCCACCTATGTTCTCGGCTGGACGTGCCTGAGGAGTTCAACCTGGGCTTTTTTGAAAGCATGCTAATGTCTCCTTTTCCTGGGGACCATCTAACCACTAGGAGTGCTAAAAGGAGATGGCTTCAGTTTACTCATGTCGCACTCCGCTTCCCAATAGGTGGCACCCCAGTGCCATTAATAGCTTCCCAAAGGGCACTGGGAACAGGCGTAGATCCTGGCATGGCATGACCATAATCAAGTCAGAGAGTGAGAAACCCACTTGAGTGGGAAGAAACATGCTTCAGTGGTGAAGACGCTTGTCTAGATTTTAGGAGACCAAAGTTCAATTCCGTACCTAGACTTCTGCTACCCTATGCAATTTGTTTAGAGTCTCCATGCCTCAGTTCCCCATCGCTAAAATGGGAAAGGAGAACCAAATCAAGAAAGATAGATGTTATGCAGGAGGTCAGGTCAGACGATCACAGTAGTTCCTTTGGATTTTTATAATCTACAAATCCTCATTCCTGACTCATAAATATTTGGAGGTTAAAACGTTAAAGGTAAAATGGTAGTGGTTGGCATACAAGTGCCTCTGAGTGACGGGACCTATAAACCCTTGTTTTCTTCTGCCACCACAGAGGCCTTCACATGTTGTCCCTGGATTCTCTCAAACAGCACAGAAAATGTGGTTATTAGGGCAATTAATGAAACTTCACCAACACAAACACTGTGGAGACACATTTCAAAGGCAGTAGCTATCCTGCTCTAGACCAAGCAGAAGAGAAGCCTCCTCTGGATTGGGACCCTTGGACTCTATAATAATTTACACCAAGTGGTTGTCATGTCCCCCAAAGGTGCAAACATAGGTTTTCAGACATTGGAATAGGCACTCATACCCAGAATAGCAGAAATGTGAATAAAAGAATAAATATTATTGGTAACATTTTCCAAAGCACCAAATGGATGTTTTCCAAAGCATCAAGTGACTTGGCGCACTGTCTTCTAATTCATAGATGATGAACTTTAAGCGACTGAGTTGCTACAATTTTGTGAGTAAAAGGTCATGTAGTCTGGAGCATGACAGCAGGAGCCAGAAAGTACAGGTTTTTTCGCCCTGGCCTGGGGGTCAGACAAGATGATCACAATAGTCCCTTGGAACAAGTCATAGCACCCATGTCTCAGGTTTCCCATCTGCCAAGTGGCAATAATACCATCTACCTCACTGGCATATCAGAAGAAATATTAGGTTTGCCTTTTAAAGTGATTTGAAGATACAAAGCACTCATGAAGTAAATACGTATTATTTTCCAACTATTTACATCTTGCTGGCACAGTTGGTTTAATACCACACTTGTCTCTATGGGGACTATATTACAGTAGCAGACCTATTACAAAAGCTTACATTTAAATGTTGTTAGCATCTGCCATATGATCATTTTTCCAAAACCTTATGCACATTCTATCACTTCTGTGGCAATGCAGCCCCATAATTACTTGTTGGGTTCAAAGAAAAAGATAAAACCTTAAAAATACTACCTTGTACTCTGATATTTGGGATACGGTTACTTTTGTCTTATTATTATCGGTCCTAATATTACCCTCTATTTCACTTTAAATCCCTTAATATGACTAGATTGTATGAGGTAGCAATTCAGTTTTCGTTTGAAGTTATTTTAAAATTAAAATATTTAGTGCATTTAAAAAAAGAAGAAAAAACCCCCAATACACCAGAAGGCTAATAAAAATCCATCCTGCTTTATATGCAAGGACAGAGAGGCTCCCAAGCCTATATTTAAGAACCTAAAATAAATGGCTTGACTTTGAAGAGGGCTAAGCATTCAAAAGCCCCCAGTGAGTTCAGCAGAAGTCACGGGGTGTTCAACAATTTATCACATGACTCAAGAATTTCTCCCTGTAATATTACTCACCATGTGTGCAGTGCAATAAGGTAAAATATTGGCGGCTGCAGATTTCAGTAAGACCTGACCACCTAATTCTGTCACACGCTTCTGAAAACCCCCCTGAATAATTGTGCACGATTTTCCTGAAGTTTTATTGCATATAAAACAGACTGCATTTAAGTGAACACTGCAAGGTGGGGCTCAAATGTCAGGCCTGTAATATGTTAGTAAAGGTTACATTAAAATAATAGCTAATTAGAGCTTTATCTCATTCTGCTATCACTTGCATGTCAAGATGAGATAGTGGATGACTGCCTGGCCAAAATATGCATCATTTCCAGCTCTCTAATATTGCTGAAAAATGGGCAGCAGTTCAATTTGCTGGCGATAATTTATTGCATGGAATCAAGATTCTGCAGGCAGCTTCCTCTCATCTGTTACCTTCAACATTTCCCACAGCTATTTGATATTTCCTGGCTTTTTGAGTTAATTGGTCCACTCATGCCAAAACCCAGCTATCTAAATACACTTCTGCAGGGGTTTTTTAAAAATGTAGGATGTCCAGTAAGGTCATTCAGATTTGCACTTCCATTTACCATGAGACAAACAGAACCATATACTTCAACAGCATTTCACAGACAGAGCTGGGGGCAAGCTTTTTTTCCCCCCTCCCCCAGATGTGTTTGATAAATGTTGAACAGTCCTAGAAATTCAACTTCCAGCCAAAGTCCAGGGCACCAGCTGAGCAAAAGGAAGACAAGGCAGAGCAGCCACTAGGATGCGTGGTGAAAAGAGTGAATGAGACTCAACTCGTACCAATCCCATCCTCTGCACATTGTTCACTCGCTGCTGCACCCCTGAGACAATGGACCATTATAGACAGCAAGAGCGGCAATGCCACCAGCCATTATAGACAGCAAGAGCGGCAATGCCACCAGCCATTATAGACAGCAAGAGCGGCAAGGCAGCACATGGCCTCCATACTGCAAAGCAGCCGCCTTTGCTCCGGGGAGAAGAGGGAGGTCAGGGAGCCGGGCTGCAGCTTCTCTAACTCCTCCATTATTTAGTGCTTTCCTTAAAGCTACAGCTCTGACAAGTGAGGAGTAGAGATTTCATACTTAAAATCAGAACCCCGAACTTTAAAAAAAAAACCCTTTATGAGCATTTTTGCCAATCGCATGATGTAATGAGGCTTCGCTTGCTTTTTAAACTGTTGGAGCTGGCACACTTTTTGGCTCTTTTCCCTACCCTTATTTGCAGAGAAATATGAGTGGGCAACCGGTTTCCCAGTATTGGTGCCTCGAAGTACTGCAACAGGGCATAAGCCCAGTAATCACAGGCCTCCACTGGCTGCTTATTTTGCAGACAGCTCTAGGTCATCGCTTTTTCATTCTGCCAACACGATTATTCTCCAAGAAGCTCTAATTGAGCTTGATTTTTTCCTGAGTCAGTTATATTGTCCAGCCTGGGGAAGAATACTAAAAAAAAAACAAAAAACCCCTCCTACTTGATAGCCTTCTGGCTTGAGGCCATGTACTAATCTTCATTTGGTAATTGAAGGCTTGTACAATGGAAAGAAACTCCATGGAAGCTGTCAAGTCAATGAAAAGTAATGAAATATGAACATCCTGGTGTCACCTAAATTCAGCCTTCTCAGAGCACCTGTCATCTCTCGTTTTATCAGCAATTCCAGCAATAAAAATAAAAAAAGTCATGCATTGCTCCTGACGAGTGGCTGACCACACGGAAACACGCAAACAGTGTTTGATCCCGGCCTTGAAACAAATTCCTTTCTGCCAAGTTTCTCTTTCACTGATCCAAAGTGTGTACTGAACAAAGGCGGGAGGGAAGAGAGGGAATGAGAAGAAATGGCTTTCCGAATTTTAGAGGCCGTCTCTCCAGAAGCTTGCAGCATACACCTATGATGGACCTAGCATAAGACACTGAATAAGAATGGAGCAGAAAAAAAAAAATGCAACTTATGGTGTCATGGAAGTATTGATGTACCCGGTCACCCAGAGAATGAGAGTGCTGGGGAAACGTGCGCCTGTTGAGTTCTGTTGCATTCATCCGCTAACTCCATGCGCAAGGCGTTTCCTGCACAGGCAGCCATTTTCTTATACATAGATTATAGCAGCATTATAGCATTATTCTAGCATATATATCACAGAGCGCAGGGCTTCTGTCCAAGTGAATCAGGAATGATTTTCAACTCAGATCTTTTTTTTCCCCCCCCAAAAAAGTCCATTTTTCCACAAGCTTTGAAATGAAAACTCCCCATCTATTCTAAACATTTTCACATGGGATGTTGAAAAAATCTGGCATCCAGCTGCCCTTCCAGGTTACAAAATTTGCCAACATTTTCCTCAAAAAATGCTTTTAGAGTCAGACGATGCATTGAAAACTATTCTGGTTTTAGAAAGAGCTTTTGACTGTCGATGAACTGGCATTTTCAGCAAAAAAACCTGATGACTGAAAAAATTCGGAGGCTTCTAATCTTAAAGAGATGAGTGCTGGAGAGTCCAAATCTAGACCTAGCCCTATAAACACTGGCATGAGTCCTACTAATGACTCCATATGGGTAGATGTGCATAGCCAGTGGCAGGATCAGTCATTCTGGAGCTCCTGGAAGGCATAGAAAGTTTTTGCCTTCCTGGGAGGAAACACTTGAATGTTAACTTCTTTGTATAGGAGATCAAAAAAGTACATGACTAGGGCATTACAAGTAACTGGAAAGATGCTTAGATGTATAGGAAATTAATTTGCTTCACAGTCCTGATCCTGCGCTCTTTATTCAGCCCAGTCTCCAACAGAGTTCACCTAGTGGAAAAGCAAAGAAGAATCTGCCAGATGACAGATACGGCATTTATTTCTGTTGACGGCAGTACTCCTAGCAGGTTAATGATATGACAGATGGCTGACAAGAAGGGAGAAACCCATTCCTTACCCTTCCGCAGTTCACTTTTTCAGTTTCAATCTGCAGATTAAATACATCTTATTTAACTTTTTCAGTAAAACAAAGAAGACAACCCTACACAACAGGATGAGTGAAGGTTGATACTGTCCTTGGTCAAGCAAAAAGGGCTCTCTGATAATAGTAGGGTACATTCTTTGGATGGGAAACTGAGGGAAGAGGAAGGAGAAATTGTTTCATCACTTGGATAGGAAACATTTTAATTCCAAGGAGAGAAAATGCCATATAGAGAAAAAAAAAAAACATTCAATATCCAGAACACAGCACTGAAGCCCCAAACTGAAATGAAACAAGGCTGAGGAAGAGTGCTGATAATAAGCTCCCTTGTTCCCAGAGATTTGTGGTGACAATTTTGCTTCAAAAGCACTTATTTGTATAAGTGAAAGCTTACTTAGGGGCCTGGTCCAAATCTCCATGAAATTTGACCATTGATTTCAAAAGGCTTTGCATCTTTCCTGAGGTTAATTTCTTTTCTAGACATTGTCAAAATTTCTGCGCTTTCCCAAAGCTCTCTGTGTTTTCAACAAGCATAGCTGGCATGCGTTATAATCTATTGCCTCTTTAACTCTGCAGTGAAGACGTGGGGCTGAAATCTGGAGAAGGTCTAATATACAGCTACAAGGACATTCCTCCCAATGAAGTGGACTATCTGGGGACTGTTAAGCTATTCTGACACCTTTTTGCTCTTTAGTTATCACTTCTGTCTGGAACATCTGGCAGGTGTGTGGATCTATGTTTTGCATGGGAAAACAATGTACCCGACACAGACTGCTCCTCTTCCAGTCAAGTCCCCTCTTTGATCAAGAAGCACTGACATGTGCAGTGATTTGGGAGAATAGCACATCTGTGGAAAACAGATCTCCCCATTATCAACTGAGGTAAGGGACTTTGGGATACTAGCAAGACCACAACAAGGTAATGGGAACAGACTTCATTCAGTACAGGGCACAGCCTCTCACTGGCATCTGGTGCATGGAGTTAGCGGATGAATGCAACTGAGAGAAGAGTGGTCTGTTGGAGGGTGGGGGGGGATGTGATGGGGAGGGCAGTTCAGCACAAAAAATGTGAGGCTTCTTTGTGGTACAGGGATACAAACTTCAATGTGGGCTAAAAAAGCCTTTCTGCTCCCGGGCAGCCACTCTAATTAAAAAGCCCCAGCGTCATGTGTATTCAGTGTCCTGTACTTCAGAATGGCCGCATGGGGCACTTTAACTAAAGCTTGTTCACCAAGTTTTAGTTAAAGCAGCCCTGCTGTCATTCTGAAATGCGGGGCACTGAATACACGTGACGCTGCAGCACGCTGGAGCGTTTTTAATTAGAACGCTCCAGCAGACTCAACTAATTGATTAATCGAGTCTGCTCCAATGCATCCTTTGTCAGAGCACATATATAGGCGCATAACGATGCTAGAGTTAAAAATATGACTTTTACAAAACTGGTGGATAAACAG